TTAACCTTCCAAACACGAAGTGATCACACAAAACTAAGAGATCAGGCCTGTGTATATTGGTATGAAACCTCAGCCCTGGTCCTGACCACAGCCTGCAAGTGTCACTGCACGTACAGATGACACATCTGCTTTACATATTCTCATAAAAATAAAACACATAAAAATAACACCAGTCCAGTCCATGAAATCCTAAATTACAGTATCAGAAGCAATCTGGTTTTCAAATGAAACTGAGTTACACAAACACTCAAAGAGATTTGAAATAAATGGGAAAAAATCCTTCTTCACCTCTATTATCATCATAAAAGCATCACGAGCACAAACCCATCCATCCTACACACCCACTCCTAGGTGATCTCTGACCATGACACATTTCTCTCTGAGTCAATTTGCTCCTGATTAGAAAAAAAGGAAAAGCTGCTTTGTCATCAGTGCCTGGTACACAGACACCTACAGCAAGCACCTTTCCACGACTCTGCTTGGTGCCAATTCCTAGCACCTACTTTCTATCTTGCTATACTTCAAACAGGCATGCAACAATTCTCAGTAGCTCCTAGAGAAATCACAGAGCAATGCAGAACACATTTTCAAGTTTCCAGGTTGGCCCATAAGGACTTTGCCAGAATTCAAAAGCTCTCCAGGGACAGAGGCAAATATAACTGGGAGACCTACCTAATTAAGCATCACTAACATTTTGAATATAAAGTAGTTAATTCCCTGAAAAATAATTCAATTAATCACACTCTTATTAAGAGGGATGTATTTTCTTCTGATCATAGAGGCACACTTGTACTGCTACAACACACGGAACAAAAAGCCAAGTGCTGCCATAGAAAAGGTTCTGCATTCCCCTGCACTACAATTTTGAAAAAGACTGGTCACAAAATTCAGCCTACCTTATTCTAATAAAATTCCTTCCTAATTCTTCACTGTAGATACACATTAAGAATAAAACCAAAATATATAAATAAATATATATTCTATGTATAATTTAAAATATTCTAACTAGGTGATTATCTTGGACAGGCAGGGGTGAAATCTCAGGAACAGAGAAGTCTTGCAAGATATTAATTCCTCTTTAGTGTCAAAGAGAAATGAGAGTACACAGTACAGGGGTTTATATTTCTAAAGAAAGTTATATATTAAATATAAAGAAATCTAGAAACACTGCTGCAGAACAATTAAACAGAAACCAAAACAATGCCATTGATTAAAAAAAAAATGCCTTAATATGGAGGAAAAAAATGTCTTCTTTTCAACTCCCTAAGCAGTAACTTGAAAGATCAAGTGTTAAAATAAGAAAGCACCAGATGAGGGGAGTGGTCAGAGGTAGAAATCCAGATCAGATGCTTACTTTCAAATAAACGAAGCAGAATCTCTTATTGCAGATAGGAGTCATTATTTATGAGCTGGGGCTGTACCTCAGAACACGTGCAGGGGGGAGGGGAACTGTCCTATCACACAGGCTGGGCTCAACTCTCACTCATCCCACTTTGTTCTCTTACACTGGACACTGCATCAAGGACCTCAAATGTATTTTCATCAGCTGTCCAAAAAAATTCCTCAAGTTTTTTACTGGAAGGCCAACAAAGCTAACTCGGGGGAGAAGTGAAACAATGTCCTGTGTCATCTCCCAAACCACCTTGCAAACACCCAGGGAAAAAGCAGCCTTCAGTTATTTCACATCTGACTGCACCTTAAACCACGGGGATTCTGAGTATAAATGTAAGGCACCGAAATGAAAACCTCACACCATGACACACCTTCAAAGTCCTTACTGACTTCAGTGGCAGGAGCAGGAGTTAAACCATCCATGCCCTCATCAGCAGCACCTCAGGAACCTGACAAACCCATCCAGGCAATCACTGCTCACCTTGCAGGGCACAGGAAGGCACACCAGAAAAAGGGAGTGCTGGGTTTATATCCCCTGGTTACTTCACCACAGCTGAAGGAATCAAACCTGAACACAAAGCACCAAATTCACCCATATTATCACAGACAGAGATTCTGACTTTTGTTCCATTTGATCCATTGAAGAACACATTATTACACATGTGAAATGATGGCTTTCCAACACAATAAATATGAAACCTTAAAGTGATTTGTGCATTAAGAAGCACATCCATTGCCACAGGATGTTCCAATTAATTCAAAGGAAGATTCGTTGCAATGAGAAGGAAAAGGAGATCCCAGTGCTCTGCACACATTTCCAGGCTGCTGTCAGGACTGAGTAGGCCTAAAGCCCAAGGTTAACCAGAATATTTAGTCCTTTAAAAATAAAAAAATTAAGAATTTGGTGAGGCGAGTAAAATGTGCTAATGGTAATTTTTAGAAAACATATACTTTTAAAAATTCAACTAAACCCCACAGACCTCTCTCAAGCTAGGCAAAACAAACCACAGTTATAACTAATGCAAGATATTCCTTATTTAGGAAAAAAAAAGTTGCCAAAGTGATACAGATTGGCTCATTACACAGCATTAAACCACACTTCTTTCAGTACTCTGGAGAACTAATCAGCTGTGTTTTGTTGGGAGGGCATGGCTGGGAGCAGGCAAGGTAGCACGGCATTGTTCACAGAGCAGAGTGGTGCCTCCAGGCTCTCTGAAGCAGCACTTGGGCCCAGAATATACAGAATGACATCAACAAGTTATCTGAGAAACGTGGCCAACATTCTAAAATAAACCCATAAAATCTCTGCTGCCCGCATTAACCAGTTTAAGGTGAACCACACACACTTCAGCTCAAAGGTTCCTAAATAAGATGAGTCTTCTGCCATCATGAGCTGTTTTCTTCTCCAGAATTATTTGAAGTTTTCATGCAGCCATGTCCTCCTCATTGTGCTAGTCCAACATGACTCAATTTCTCTAAGTTCATAAAACTCAATGTTCGCTTTCTTCTCCATCTGTGGTTTCACAGAGAAAGAAACTGATTTTCTAGGGCTCTAAAAGCAGGGATCTGCACACGGGCACAGCATTCCACGGCACCACTCGCTCAGAGGTGAGCAGTGACCACATCGGTTTAACACACACTGAGAAAACAGAGCAGGACAAGCCAACAGCAAAAGGGCTGATGTATTCCCACCACCATCTGCAAAAGTCTGCTCACAAACAACCCCCAGGACGCTGCACTGCTCACACCGGCTCAGAGGAGGAGTTCCATGCACACCAAAGCTGTCCCGAGGCAGAGCCTGGCCCTGACATTGAGGGATTCTCCCCCTATGCCACTGCACGTGGACCACGCCAGGACAGATGTGGGAGAGAATTCCGGAGGAGAAAAATAACTGACCAGGGCACTGGGCTATTTCCTTTACGAAATTCCAAACTGAATGTCCTCCGTCAAAAAAGGCTCATCTCCAGCTGCACAGCACCATCATAATCCCTTAATATCTTGACAATTTGTTCCATTCTCTTATTTTTGATTTGCTGGCTTAACAAGTATAGAATTTTAAAATATCACTGAATAATGATACCCTTTAGTGAACAAAGGCACCAACATTACATCCTTTATTATAATTTATTATAATCCTTCTAAATTATGTAATTGAATAACATGTCATTTTGCACATATTCTAACACCTCAATTAAAAAAAAATAGTTTAAATGAGGAACTTCACACTTCTCCCCCAAATGCAAATCACCTGTGAGATAGCAGGAAAAAAACCTAAATATTACATTCTCATACGTAAAAGGCATTTTAAATAATTTTAAATAGAAACAGAATAGATGACAGGAATGTTGCCCTGACATCTTTTGCACAGGTATTTAAATACCAGATACCAATAAGAAGACACCAGAATTATCTAACAAAATATAGCTGGCTACTTCTTAAAAAAAAAAAAAAATTGCATAAGGAACAATTGTGTGTAGACAGTTCACATAATAAAGGTTGAAAGCTCATAGCCCTCTCCATGTTAGATAAAAATTTCCCAGACTGTAAAAACGGTTTAAAATAAATACATTTACATTATCAATTCCATACCAAACCACTTTATTTTCCTTACTACTGTTTACAAATTATTTCTTTTCCTTCCTCCTTTGTACTTCCCAAAAGCCCTTTCCCCCACCGCTCATAACAATTTTAGTCGTTGTATGGCTATGGGACACAATGTTTTTGCACTAAACAATTTTTAAAAACCCTCTTCTTAAATTATCTCTTTTTTCCTCTACACAACTCCAATTTCTCAACTCTGAAATTAATCACCTGTCAAACAAGGCACTACGATCAGTTTTTCTGACCAATTCCACTCTCCTCGCCGCTCAGCATCTCAAAAGCAGGTAAAAATTTATTGTAAAAGACAGCTCCATAAACTTAAAAAAATTAGTCTTCCCAGTCAGCAGCGGACCAGTCCTTTTTCCTCACGACTTCTGCCGCCGAACACAGAATCCTGCCGGCAGCACAACCCCGCTGTACCTTCAGCCTCCTCCCCCCGGACAGAACAGCCTGGGGTTCTCACCCCGGAGCGCTTGTCCCCCTGCCATTCCCAGCGCACCTTCCTGCGGCGCTCACTCAACTCCTGAAGCGTTCCCAGCTCCCCCGGCCGACCCCCGGCCGCTCCCGCATTCCACGGACGGGCTCCCGGGGAGCCTTTTCCTGTCGCTTCCCCGCTCGCTGCGATGTCGCTTTCCCCAGCGACACCCAGCACAAAGGGTCCTTTCCCCGCACCCCGGGCGCTCCAGGGCCGCGTACCCCACCCTCCTCGGCTCCCTCCCGCCCGGTCCCCGGGCAGCTCTGCCGGCCTGGCCGGTAAATGTCCATCCCCTCCCGCAGGAAGTTCTGTGGAGGCCCCGGGAACTCGCCCACCCCGGGACCCCGCCGGCTCCCCCCGCTCCGCTCCCTCAGAGCGGGATGGGGCCGGCGGGGGGGGGAACCCTCCTTCCTTTCCCCCTTCCCCTCCCGCCAGCCCCTCGGCCGCTGTCCCCGGCCCCGGCCGAGCCTCGGGCTGAGGGAACGCGCCCCGCTGGCCGCGCGGAGCCGGGACCCCGGGACCCCTCGCTCACCGCCGCTCCCCGCTCGCTCCGCTCCCGCCGCGGCTCCTCAGGAGACACTGACACCGGCGCACGGATACCGCGCCGCGCTATTTTTGGGAAACAAGGCCCGACCGCGGCCGGAACTACAGCTCGTCACACTCTTCTTCAGTGTCCTTCCGCACGTTTCTCCGCGCAGCTCCGGCAGGGCCAAGGGCGCTCAACGGCGCCGGGCAGGGGCGGAACGGACCGGGGATGGCGGGGAGGGGCGCGGTGCTCCCGCGGCGGGCGGTAGGACGGGCACGGCCGCGCTCCGCACTCGAGGCATCGCCGGATTACTTTGTTGGGCCGGGGAGCGGCCGGGCCTACATTCCTGCCCGCCGACCCGCCCCGGAGTGACGGCGTGCACAGCCAATCGCACCGCCCGCGCAGGACAGCCCGCCAATCAGCGCGCAGTTGGTGGGCGGAGCGCAGCGAAACGTGGACGCCTTGAGTGACATGGGAGCGCTCAATCAGAAAGGGAGGGAGGGAAGCGGCAACCAATCAGAGCCCAGTGAGGGCAGGGCCGTTGGGAAGGGAACGCCCCTCCTGTCCGAGCTCGGCGGGCGCGCCTGCGCAGAGCGCGGGGCCGGGTGGGCCGGCCGTGACGCAGCGGGCCTGGCCCGCCCCGAGTGGCGCCTGCGCCACCCCGGGCCCTGCGGGGCTGGAGGGCGGCTCTGGGGCAGTAACAGCGAGGGTTTGGGGCAGTAGCAGCGAGGGCTTGGGGCAATAACAGCGAGGGTTTGGGGCAGTAGCAGCGAGGGCTTGGGGCAATAACAGCGAGGATTTGGGGCAGTAACAGCGAGGCTTTGGGGCAATAACAGCGAGGATTTGGGGCAGTAACAGCAACTCCGGGAAGTGGGGCCGGTGCCCCTCCTGAGCCCCCTGCACGGCACTGCCCCCGCAGATAAACAGCTCAGCTGGCCCTGTGTGTCACCCTCTGAAACCACCGCCGCCTCCCCAACACACTCACATATATATAGTGTATGTGTATATATAAATACACACTCTATTCTCTATAGATACATTTTTATATATGGTGTATCTATATACACTGTGTCTAGTATATGGAGTATATATGTAATATATGAAATATATGTATTATCTATATATACACGCTAGATATATATGTATCTTGTGGATATTATATAATTGTGAGAAATATCCCCTGGTAAAATTTAACAAGGACAAGGTCGTAAAAGCAAAACTATTACTACAAAGTCATAACACTATTAAATACATAAATATGTATTTTATATAGTATATATACTATATGTATTATGCATTATAAATACATGTGTGGTATACAGTAAATACACACTATATTAATTCTACTCTAAATATTAATTGTACACTATATACCTAATCATAAGTATAGTGACTATCTACTGTACAGATATTGATTTTAAAAATTATTTTAAAATAAAATAAAAATAATAAATTAACATTAATTTATTAAAAATAATATTTTTAAAATAATTAAAATTAATTTTAAATTAAAATTAATTTTAAATAAAATGTATTTTCTGCCTGGCTTGCTGTGACTCTCCCAGCTCTGAGGACATGAGCTGTGTCTCCACGTTCAGACAAAGGTGACAGTCCACCTCAGTTCCAGCTCCATGCATCCATCCCCACCTCCCATTATCTCAGCCAGAGCTGCCATTAATTGTGCTCTAAGCAGAGGAGACTGCTCGGGAATCCAGAATATAAGCCATCAAATGGGCGTCGTTCTCCTTCACAGAAGGCGGCAGCTGAAGAGCGACCCAAAAATAAAATTTTGATGATAAAATGATACTTGCCAAAAATCATCTGCGCTCTACAGCTCTTCCAGATTTATCCTGTGAGATACCCACAGGCTCAGAGTGGAGCGACAGGAGCCATTTCACAGCTCCAAATCACTGCAAAGGGCACATCTCTAATCAGGACACCAGAACCAAGGGGGCTGTCTCTGAAAAACAGAGATCAGAGGGGTTCTTTGTATTTTAGAATGGTATCATTAGCTGAACACAAAAAGGTAGCCCCACAAAAGGTTGGGGAATAGGATGCCAGGAATGATGACAGAAACTCCCATCGGGCAGGGTGGTGACCATGCCATGGGATGGGAAAAGGTGGATCCTCCATGGCTGTTCCCAAAAAGTGAATGTTAATTTCTGGTGTCCATTTCCAGAAGTTTAGCACAAATGGAAACAGCAGTTATCAGCTCACAGAAACGCTGGAGTTCAGGGTTTGTAATGTACAGATTAGTTTGGATTTAAGAGTGCAGCTAGTGAATAAGTTGAGCAGCTTTTGAAACATCCACCTTTTGTTCAAAACAGAGGTGCAAGAATAGACACTTCTTCTTGTGGATCTAGGAAAAAGATTGCAAGAAGTGAAAAAGACAACAAAATATAAATATTTGCCATCTACAATCATATTTCCAAGCTGCTTATTGCTGATCTGTAATAATCAGGAAGATATTTAAATCCACACAGTTTTGTTTCAATTTCAAGATGAACAGTCTAAATGTCATTGATTTTCATATGAATAAGATTTATTCTCTCATTCCTCACTATACCTATCATCCATAATACCTGTAAGGTCTATTACTAGAATCTAATGATTAATACCACAAAATCCTCTCTTGACAGCAATATGCTGAGAAGATGTTAAGATAAAATACTGAATATTTAACTTATAAAAGTCAGTGGGAATCTGAGTAAGACATTGAAGCAAGGCCTGAGCAAGGACTTCTGGATATACTCATGAATTATTTTCAGTACATATTATTCCAAGCTGGCAAAAAATAGAGCAGGAAGCCAAAGAGATAAATAATTGGTTCTAATCTGTCCTTTTCAGTGGCACCACAAGAATAAGCAGAGCATGTGTTGCTCAAGGGATTTCTCTATGAGCCTTGCAAACAATGCCTCAGGGGCACAGAGCAGCCTCCTTCCCACTGAAATGCTTTCCTGCCCTGCTGGAAACACTGCCCTGTGTAACAACTGAGAAAAGGAAGTGCAGAATTCAGGTTGCAGTTGAAATTCCAGATGTTTTTTCCACGTGTGATGATGTGCTGCCACATCTGCTCCTGCAGAACCCTCCTGGGACTGGTGGGGAACCAGGATGGGTGGTGGGGAGGGCACAGATGTCCTGATGTGTCACAGTGAGTGACAAATGTCACCCCTCAGGCTGACACAAATAAAGTCACAGAGGAGTTGGTGCATCAAAATCCTGAAATCACTCCCTGACCTGATGGTGCTGCAGTGGGTTTGATTTCCAGGACAACTGCAAAGACCAAATTCTCCTGGATAATACAAAGGGTGCAAAACTGTAGGTAATAAATAAAAATGTACACTGCTGAGAAAAAAATGGCAATCTTTTTAAGACTGGAGAAGCAGCAACATAAGAAAGCCTCAGAGAACATCACACTGGAGTGTCAATATGACAAGGGAAAAATTACCACAAGCATCTGCCAGGATCACTTCTGAGAGAAAAGGGAACAACCACTGACTGCATTTCTGCCCATCCTAGGTACAACCCAGAGACTGAAAAGAGCCCCCTGAAATCTCTTCCCTTGGCCAAATTGCAGGCACTGCAATTTCCATGATATCCAAAGAGAAATAAACTCAGAGCAATAGCAAATATAAAGAAAGATAAGGAAAAAAAGATAGCAGTGTTCTTAATTTTAACTGAATAGCCTCAGAGTTGTATAGAGTCATCATCCAGCAGTTGTTATGGCAATAAAGCTTTCCCTTGCATCTCTATTCCAGTGCATTTCCACCCACCCATTCAAGGTATTTTGGAGACACTACCACCAAAATCAGATCTCTACTAACTTTCAACTTACATTTTAGGACCTTCTTACAATCCACTCCAGAGATGTACCATGGCTTTTCCCCCTTTCAAATGCCCCTTATATTCCAGAAATCAGCTTTTTAATCTTGTGTCCTGGAGCAGAGAATCTGATCCCCATGCTTCTAGAGGTGAATGTTACATAAAACCAAAATGCAGGACTTTTAAAATCATAGCTAAGAGGAGTAGGGGATGTTATGTAGGTTTTGCATGTTTGCCAAACAATTAAGTTACCCTTCAAAGGGAAGGGGGGGGGGGTCTAAGAACAAGGTTTTCAGAACAAGGTTCCTACAAATCACAGGCCAGATTAATTCCTAACATTGTTCCACTTACAATGGGGGAAACACTCTGTGAATGAAGATTTTGTAAGGGACTACTGATTGCAACAAAACCGAATTGTACTCACAGCATTTCAGGATGGGAACTCGCATTAGAAACAAAGGAGAGGGGCAGGGGGGACTCCCACCTAGGGAGCAGGAAATCAGAGAGGAGCAGATAATGGTTCCTGGCCATTAAGGCTTTGGGTAACCCTGTTAACCCCGTGGTCACCTCAGCACAAGCACTGCCTGTCCTCTCTCGGGGAGCTGGCTGGGAACAAAGTCCCCTGGGCTCCCTGTCTGTGCTCAGGAGTGCTGCTCTTGCTCTCTTTGGCTCTGACGTTCCACTACACACAGATAAAATCAAGATTTCCTTATTTTACTGAAGTCCAAGTTGCCTGACAATGCATGAATTAAATTCACTCAATCCATCCCATAAACTGCTCTCTATAAACCACTAGTATTTCCACATCATTATATGGTATACTCACTAATCTGATTGCCTTGGGAATATTTGTTTTTCCAAAACTTGTGGCCAAGGTACATAAGATTAGATCAGACACAGCTTGTCTAAGAATGCTGTTATGTGGGTGTACAGTGTATTTGCTAGTTTTGAGTTACAGGTAAAGGTACTCTTTCAAATTCTTCCAGCCAGGGGTGTGAGTTCAGTTCCCTGAAATTTTCTGCTGCAGCACTTGGAACTTTACATTTTGATGTTCTAACATTGGAGGATCAACAGGGAAATGCTGGTGTTGCCTCACTGAGGGCACACCCAGCCCGGACCTCAGCAAAATTTGTGATATTTTATAGGTCCCACAAGTCTCTCTGGGATTCACGCTCTTCTGCTGGGATTTTCTCACCATTCTGCATGTTAACATGAACCAACAGCTGGGTTTAGGAGATGGGCTATAAATAGCAACATCATGCTGCGAGCAAGCTTCTTGGAAAGTAAAGAAAATACGTTATTTAATGCACTCTGACATTTGCCTTTCCTCCCCTCATTCCTAAGCTGCACTCCTGTAAACACCCCTAATGACAAATGCAAAGAGGTTGACTTGTTCACATGGCCATAACAAGTGCTGCCTTGAGCCCAGGAGATGATATCCAGAGCCTCTCACCTCTCCCCTCAGCTGGCAGCCCCTGCACAGCA